GAAAGATAAGTGACTCTTGGAGACAACGCCTTTCTGTGTAGCCCCCGAAAAGCCTAAAGAAGGCATAGTCACACCCCATTCAGTCCATTTGCTCATCATGCTGGCTTCAGCCTGCCACCTGCTGAGGTGCCTGACTTTTTCTGGACTGGGCTTTGTGTTTATACTCACCAACGACATCATCGTTCAGAAAAGCCAAACCATCAACCCTGTGAGATGTTGTCATGCTTCCGTCCTCATCAGGAAACTGGAATGTGGCTTCAAAAGGCCTAGGGTAGGGGGAAGGATGAAATCAGTCAAGCCCCTACTGGGCAGCAGTGGAAGGGCACTCGGGTACAGAACCCAGAAGGAAATTCAGGTGTTAGGGGAGTCTCTGGCCAAACTCGGGTGAATTCCCACTGGAACTTACGCTTTGGGCTACCTGGGCCTATTAGTATAGCAGAAACCCATTTGCTTAAGAGACTGCTGTTTTACTTCATCTGGTGCTGTAGGAATCAGGATTGGTGCATGTTAGCAGGGCATGGCTTCACCTGCTTCTCTTGTAATTTTTTTTCTGTGCTCCCACGGAGTGCCAGTTTCCTGGGTAACCTCACGTACCAGAAGCAGGGTAGGGCCTTGCTGCAAGACTGGAACTCGATCCAAGAATTTATACTCCCTTACACTACTTCAACATGATATGCCCTTAAGTTTTAGGGTGTTGCATTACACAGCATTACAGCCCTCCTTCACAGCAGCCTGCAGCACTTGGAGACTGGCGCATCAATACAAGCTCAGGGCTGCTTGCTTTGAACACTCCTTTAGCATCATGCTAGCATTTTTCTTCCTTGCCCTTATGGGTTGGGGAGCATGTTTTAAGTTGGGTAGGACGTGCTGCTTTTCCTGCTCACATCACCTGGGTTAGAAATAAAGCCTTTGCTAGGACTATCTCTTCTTGTTAGGAAAAGTGAAGGCATGCCCCCAGCTTTTGGTTGTTACCTGCTTTTTTGCTCCTTATCCAGTTTTATGTTCCAGGCAAAGCAGCCACCTTCACAGCCAGCCAGCAGGTACTGATCTGGGGAGGTGGGGACCAGGGCAATCCGTAAGGGAATGGAGAGTGCTTCCAGCACCAGCAGCTGGCTAAAAAAAAAAAAAAAAAAAAAAAAAAAAAAAAAAAAAAAAAAAAAAAAAAAAAAGCCAACAGTTAAGTGGTGCTGTGAAGTGACAGTTATACAGGCTCCTGGACTGGCCACATCTGGGTTTTGCACCTTTACCTTGCTTTGAAATTGTAGTCACAGTCTGGAATCCCGATATCCCAGAGTGCAATTCGCTTGTCATAGGATGCAGCTGTGGGACACAGAAGAGAAGCAGGTAGTGACACCGCTGCTCATCTGGCTCTTCTCGTGCTAGCTGGCAAGTCTACTGTGTCACAGGCTGTAACACTCTAAGCCTGTGGCATCAGAGAGCTCATCAAAGCACAGCAGCAGTCACCGAGGCTCCCGGCTCAACACCACTTCACAGACACTGTCAAACATGCACGGTCAGTCATTTGCATTCTTATCCTGTGCTCTAAGAGGAGCAGATAAAAGAAAGTTTGTTTCCTGGTGTCCATTACTAAGTGTGGTTTCACAAGGTCATTAATTAGTGCCCCTTTGAGCTCATGTTTCTGGCCATGGGTTCTAGTGGGACCAAAAATACGAGCTCCAACCTCTACTGTCAGGCTGATGCCACTCCATGTATCCACGGCTTACTGTGTTCACATCCACAGCAGCTCCCCCTGGGAAGGTCAGGCACTAACGTAAAGCATGAACGACACTCAACGTCTGTCACCAAGCCATATACTGATAGCAGAGACAGTCCTAATAGATTACTCAGAGTAACCTGGCTCCTGGTCAGATGGCAGCCCTCAGACCTGAGTAAACAGGCTAGTGGCTGGTCCCCAAACAGGCATGCAAAGACTCCTTTTATTGCTATAAATTCTTCTGTGCAATATAATGTACTGTCCACGCCATTATATGGATGCGCTATCAACCTCCTCATCCCTCCACGCTTCTGCTTTTTGCACTCTTGAGCTTCTTGAAAAGTATCCACTACAGAAACCCGTGTTTTAAAAAAATTCCACTTCAATGGTTCATGTAGCACTCTAACCACTCCAGGATGTGGATAATTGTAGGCAAGAGAAACAATGTGCTGTGGGGTGCAGGTGTGGTCTGAATGGCTCTGTCACAGCTTATTTTACAGGCCTGACAATGCAGTTGCAATTTGTAATCTGATGGTTTGTTCCCTACCAGTCCGTAAGCCTCAGCCTCTGTGGGCCCTACTGTGGCAAAGCTCTCTTCTACATCAGACCTGAATAAAAATTTTCTGATGAGGCAAAGAACTCAAAAAAATTTTCATGCATTCAAAAAGAATTAAACGTGTAGTTTTGCTCTTTGGAAAAAATTAAATCCAGCAGCCCATTATATGCTGCATTGCCCCTGTTGCCATGCTTATGAGAGCCCTGCCAGCTGACCGCTCGCTGCCTGGCCCCCAGCAGGCTGCTCTGGCTATCATTCTTACTCATCCCTGCGGAACAGATCCACTACTGGGCTTGTTTGTGGCTACTGTGTGTGTGAGAGCCACCCTGAGAGCTACCAAGAGAGAGAGAGAGACAGGAGCTGCTGCCCCTCAGCTAAAGAGCCAGGCTCCGTGGCTGAAAGAATTTGTACCTTCTGTAGATTGCTGTCCTGTGAGACCAACAATCCTCTCTCTGTAACGTCTGGCCCTGCTTTTTGTAGGGGTGTGCGGTCCCTAGCTGCACCTGCTTGCACTGGTGACAGGTCCCCTTGTTAAGGAAGCCCAGCCTTTTCTACACTAGGTACTAAAGCTAAAGAGATTCTGAACCAGAGACTTACTGAAGAGGTGAGTTTCTTGAGTTGGGCTGAAGCAGACAGTAGCAATGGGCTTTTTATGAGCCTTTATCTCTCCGTAGCAGAAGTCAGCTGCCACATGAATCAGTTTGACGATCCCTCTCCTCCCAGCAGCCGCCAAGATATTATGAGATTTTTTCCGACTGTCGCTGATTACCATTGTGAGGGTTGTCCATGCAACACTGAAAAACTCCTAGGGTAGAAAGAAACCAAGAATAGCGTGAACGAGAACAGCCAGCAGGATGGCTGTTAGCTCAGAGATAAGACAGCTATCACCAGAGCCATTCAGGTGAAATGACACGACTGTTGGGAGCCAGAGCACCGAATCTCAAAACAACCTTCAGAAGAACACAAACTAGCAAAGCAGGATGTTTATTCCTCTGTGCCATCAAGCAGTCTTAGTGGCCTGGATACACATCCATATGCCTGTGCGAGAAGAAGAGAGGCAGACTAATCTTCTGAACTACTAAAAAAATAAAACCAAACCAGGCTAAGAGGCTAAGCAAGAAATGCTTACTAGCTATCTTCATCCTTTTAAGACCCGTCCATGCCAAAGCTTGAAACCCTTTCAGAACTCTTTGTATTATATATTATGTATACATGTATGGAATTATAATGGATTGTGGTATTTCCATTCAATGCTTACTCTTCCCACTTGCAACCTACCTCTGTAGCCACCTTGTACTTTTTCAGCACCGTCCCCGTCTCACAGTCAATCAGGCAGACGGATTCTCCTCCACATGTTGCCACGGTTCTGGAGGAGCTCACAATGGGATCTGAAAGATGAAAAGAACAGGTGAGAAGTTCCCAGGTTCACGGATAACACATGACGACTGCAGCTTATCACTGCCTGGTGCTCTCCCAGTCTCCTGTTTTCAAAGTCAAAGATGTAAGCAAGTCTCTTCCTGACAATGGAGATTACAGCTTGAAGGAACAGGAGGCTAACGCATGGAGTCCGCTGGGATTCCAGAGCCAGGTGGTTCTGGGAATCCTGCAAACCTCTTTAAGAGCTCACCTTTCCTGGCTCCACAGTCTAGCAATGGCTCGAAGACACAGGACCAGAGCTGCGTTTTAAAATCCTCGCGGCTGTTGCCTTTACTGTGACACTGAAGAAAATGCAATGGCTCTGCACTGACATCCTCCTACAATAAACCATCCACATTTAGAAAATTCATTCCCCTGACAGTGGTTTGCCTGTGATTGCCTTGACAGAACCCTCTACTGAACACTGCAATCTGAGTTAAACTGAATTGTTTTTCAGCCCTTCTGTGCTACAGAGAACAGGAGAGACTGAGGTGCCACCAATGCTCAAGACACCTAAACCAGCAGGCAACTGTTCAGAAAAGATGTGCCCAGCAGACCCCAGCAATGAACCCCATTTCCTGCTGCAGAGAAATGTGAAAAACCCTTTAGATTCCCACTGGTCTGAGCTGAGGGAGAAACACCTTTCCCTGTGCAGCCATCAGTTCAACCTGAAAGCAAGTCATGCCTGTCCCATTTCTAAGAACAGGCTTTCAGAGCACTGGTCCATCCATCCCCTGCAGGGGATTCACTGTCTCCAGGGGGGGCCTTCCCTGACGCCTCTGAGAGACTTAAAACAACAAAAAAACCCAAACCAAAAACCGTAACTCACAATATATTGGCCAATTATGAGCTCCAAGCTGTGCAGAGCTCTGACGAAATCTGAATGCAGCTCCTCCCACTAAACCAAGAGGCCAAAAGCCAGTCCCAAGGGGGCTGATGTCCTGCTGCAGAGAAATGTGAAAAACCCTTTAGATTCCCACTGGTCTGAGCTGAGGGAGAAACACCTTTCCCTGTGCAGCCATCAGTTCAACCTGAAAGCAAGTCATGCCTGTCCCATTTCTAAGAACAGGCTTTCAGAGCACTGGTCCATCCATCCCCTGCAGGGGATTCACTGTCTCCAGGGGGGGCCTTCCCTGACGCCTCTGAGAGACTTAAAACAACAAAAAAACCCAAACCAAAAACCGTAACTCACAATATATTGGCCAATTATGAGCTCCAAGCTGTGCAGAGCTCTGACGAAATCTGAATGCAGCTCCTCCCACTAAACCAAGAGGCCAAAAGCCAGTCCCAAGGGGGCTGATGGGACATACCTTGCCCTTGGAGTTCTTCACTGGGGTCAAGCTAACAACTCCATTGTCCTGCTCCTGGTTTTTCTGTTCCCCTGTCAGCTGGCTGGATCTTCTGTTGCTTTGCCCCCTGGGAAACTGTTCTCCATTCTTTTGTGGCCCTTCAGGTCCCTGCTCAGAGGTTGCCTCTTTGGCTGGCTGGTTCAATGTTCTTGGATTGTCAGGAGCTGGGTCATCCTGCACATGACTGGACTTTCTGGAATTAACTACAGTCTCCTCCTCAGCATTTGCCCGGGACTTGGACCTCTTGTTTCCAGAGCTGGTTTTTGAATGATTTCTTTTCCTCTTGCTGGGCATTACTGTGACCTGTAAGGCACATTGTCAGTTTCTGCAGAAAGTTTCTAGCTTCCCTGAGATGCGCAGATGATTTGTAAATCAGAGATATTAATTATTCAAATGCAAAGTACCCTCCCACGGCTGCAGGCTGGGTTCCAAGAATCAGACAGCCCGGAGCTGCCGAGTTCCTAGAGGCAGAAGCTAATGCCTCATTTTCATCTCCCTTCCCTTGTCCCAGTTACTTGTGATTTACATACAATGTGGAAAAACAAATCTGGCCCATGGACCAAGGGGGTTCAGTCTGCAGCCATTTCAAAGAAGACAAGCACCATCACAGTCTGGCCATGCATTGGCCCAGTTCTCTCATAAAAATATCCCTTCCTCAAAGGAGACGTGGAGTTGGTAGGACTACACTCATGAAATCTTTTGGGTCTCCTATGAGAAGGGAAGCTCTCTCCTCTTGGAGAGCAACTCAACCTACAAAGTGCTGGGAAAGCTTCAATCTGGCCATAAAGAACATGCCTTGGCCGTTAAATACAGGCTGGAGCCTGAGACTGCCCCCACGGTTACCAAAGGGTCATAAATGTAAACTGACAAGTGCTACTTGAATTTGTAAGAAATAAAAAGGACATTGTTAATGTAACTGGAAAGATCATCTACCTGATCCACATCCTCTGCAGCTTCCCTGGGGCTTTCTGTACTTTCTTCCTCGCTCTCATCCATCTTTTCCTCCGGTTCAGGATCTGTGCTTAACTCCAGACCCAGTGAGCATGCCAGAAACTCTTCTGCAATCATTTTCACCTTAGAAGCAAATATGTGGATATGTAAAAAAAAAAAAAAGACGACAAAAAGCAACAGCAATCAAACTTTGATGTGTAATGACAAGAGCTGCTTTGCTGAGTTTTTAGTATCTGCTTCCACTATTCTACGTGAATTTCACAAGCGATGGAGGAGTCCTCAGCTGATGGCCTGGCAGGCCAAGTCCTCTGCTGACATTACACGACCCAAGAACTTCACTTTGTCATAGTCATCCAGGATATACATTTGCAAAAACACCAGCACAGCACAGCAATGAAACAAGACAAAGGAGAGGTGGAACGTATGCACAGACAATTAAACCACGTTACAAACTAAATTGTATCTTTCCCCACTGGGAGCAACTACAGTTCTGTCATTAGCTCTTCTCCTTTCATACAGCTTCCATCAAGACTAAGGTTGCCGTTAGAGTTATTTGCAAATAATTAAGTACTAAGGATACTGCAGTCTTGTTAATTAGTACAAGTATCATTATCGCTTATGAATTAAAAAACAACATTTAGTAATAGTCATTGCAACTTGGTGCACATTTAGTCCTAGTGCTTCTGTAACTGCTAAACAAAGCAGTGAAGAAAACCAGAAAAAGTGATACCACCTCTCTGCAAGAGCCCCAGTGACCTGAACCCAAATCCATAGAGCATTTTAATCAAATCCGGCTGCATTTTAATCAAATCAGGCTGCAGAGTCCTTGCCTGAAGAACAGAAGGGTAAGTGAAATGTAACCTACCCGCCAGCGGGTGAATTCACTGAGTGAGCTGGGTCCATATACTACATTGGTTTGTACTGACTTTAGGAACTTTTTCTTGATGGACTTGACTTGCTCAGTTGTGTATTTCTCAGGAAGTTGGTCACGGAAGAATTTTTCCCAGTGAGCAGTAACCTAGGCAGAAAGAATGAGTTTATTCAACAGAATACTCCAGAAAACCAGAGCTGAAAAGCACAAGAGTACTTGTGAAAGCATTTAAGAAGTAGCCAACCCTGAGGCTCTGCTAGCTACATGATGGCACTGCTTCCATTTATTTTATCAGTGTTCAAACCACGACTTCAGCTAACAAAAACCCCAATTCCTCTGAACCAAGCCTAAGTGAGTGTGGCTAAGCAGATACCATCAGCATGGACCCAGAGCAACACCTGATTTCATGTCTCTGGATCCATAGCAAATGGTCTTAAGGAGTCTTACGCTGTGCCCTACTAACAGGGAGTGCCTGACAGGTAACTAATTTATCATAACAGGCACGGGATAACGGGGACTGTTGAGTTTTCTTGTAGTTCAAGTGCATGCGTGAGCGGGACTGATGCACACGTCATCCCCGTTTATAAAGTCACTTTGATTCCAAAAAGGCTTCTGAACTATGGGCACAATCACACAGATGCTCACCTATCAGCAGTTTCCCACCTGAGAGTTTCTGGTGGGCAGTAACACATCCACAGGCATTTGGACCCAACAGCTGTTTTACATTTAGACACAGCAGTAAGAACTTGGCAGCCAGGTACAAAGCAATACCATCAGGGAAAGGTATCTGGGGCACAGATACCAGCACAAAACGAACAGCACGGGAGAGCGTTTGGTGTCTCATTAAACAACCAACCATGCCCAGTTGCCTGGAGGATAAGAGGCTGAGCAGCCCTCACCAAGACCCTTTGAGGTACAAGGTATTACACCGATAACACTTAGCACCGTAAGCCATCCCAATCTTCAGTGTTTGATCTCTCCACCACTGCTACACAGAAGGAATTAACAAGATCAACTAACTAGAATACAAATGGTAAGAACAGTACTGCACAAAAAAAACCCCAACCCTTTTTCATAATAGAACAATAATTTTGCTCAAGATCACAACATGCTTTGTGGGGACAATCTGTCAGGAGCTAAACAGCTGAAGAAGAAAGAACAAATCCTTGTTCCTGGTGTATGCTGGAAAAAGCAAGATTATCCTGAGCTTGGTTTTGTGCTCCCCATTCCTGGGGCCAGGACAGTAATGTAAATTAGATGGGGAGGTGTCTGCAGTTATGTCAGCACCAGGCTTCTCCCATTTTTGAACGATGATCAGAGTGACCTGAAAACTAGAGGGCCAGACACAGACCTTGCTGACCCTGCTCCCGTGATTTAAACAAAAGGCAGAAGTTGACTACAGAGAACACGTAGAGCAAAGGCAAACAGTGACCAGAGAAAGCAGCAGTAAGGCATTTACTAGGTGGCCCATACTGTGGGCTGTGCTCAGATCACACCAGAATTATTGTTAACAACTTGATGGGTGTTTGCAAACTCTGTCACCAAACTGAGCACTGTATGTAGTTACTTCTCATCAGGTGTTTAGAGATTAGAGAAAATATCGCACATCTTACCTTGCTGGTGAGCTTACGACTGTTGACGCGCCTCACATGATTAGCCAGTTTGGTTATATCCTTGCCATTGAGCAGCCGAAGATTTTGCAAAAGAAACATTACTTTATAGTCATCGTTGAGCTAGAAAGAGAAGACATTAGAGTTACAAGAATTGTACATACAGTGCTTGCGTTAGCTTTAATCCTTTATTAAAATACAGCCAAGGATAAAAATAATGTTATTTAGTCAGGAAAAGCCATTCCATAGAATCTTCTCAGCATTCCAGACTTGAATATCAGTTTTTGTTGTAAATTAACATGTAAATCACCTAGTCATAAATTAATTTCTCCTATGCCTTGAGACCTGCCTCAGACTTACGCAGTACTAACATCCAACACAAGGTGGTGGCAGTATAACCAGGCTCATCTGCTCCGGCCTGAGAGCAAGGCAGGGAATTCTGTTCACATCCTTTCACCCATCTAAGACAAGAGGAAGGCCTGCCCTGCCTACAGCAAACGAATACCAGCAGGACTTCTTTGGGTCAGGGCAGCTTAGGTCAGAGAAGTTCCCCAATCCAGTTTACCATACATAGTATCTGCCAGCATGCAACAGCAAATAAGCATCTGCGGACAGCAATGGTGGCTGATGCCAGTTTAAAGCGCAAGTAAAATTACAGTTTTGGAAGCTTAAACTGTACAGTCAGCAGAGCCTCTTGGGAGAAGTCAGAAAACCTAAACTAGACTAATCACCAAGTTTAACCCCTCATCAGAGGACCAAGCCTGCTCTTCCAGAGCACAAGGGGTACTAAAACTAACATAGAAGGACATTTCTACACAGTCATTACTATTTTTTACACAAGTATGAGCATAAGATAGCCTGCTTGATAAGCTACCGAAAACGGGACTCTGGCAGACTAATCACCAAGTTTAACCCCTCATCAGAGGACCAAGCCTGCTCTTCCAGAGCACAAGGGGTACTAAAACTAACATAGAAGGACATTTCTACACAGTCATTACTATTTTTTACACAAGTATGAGCATAAGATAGCCTGCTTGATAAGCTACCGAAAACGGGACTCTGGCCTGGAGAATCAGGAGTTCAGGATACCCAGATTTTTTAATATCTGAGTGGTTTTGGGCAAGTCATTTCTGCAGATTGGGGAACAGTGGCACAGAGGGGTGAAGGGGCACAAAAAGACTGGCTGCTTTCTCAGATGCCCTAACACTTGCTGCCTAAGAACAATGTAGAAGAATTAGGCATAACTGTTGTTTGTTTCCCCCTCTATTTAAGGCTTAGCCTGTAAGGATGGGAGGTAACTCACTGTCAAGTAGACATTGTTCTCATAGGTTAGCTCCTCGAGCAGAGGGAACTGTTTCAGAGCAGTTACATCTTCCAGTTTGTTGTTGTTGCAGTTTAGGACACGCAGATCAGGCAGGGTAAGACTGTTGGGAAATTTGTCCAGTAAATTATCAGAGAGGTCTAGTTTCTGCAGATGCCTCAGACGGGAAAACAAACGCGGGTCTAAGTCTCCAGTCTTCAGTTGCAGCTTGGACAAGCTGAAAGCAAAAGAGAACATGAACTATCTGCGGTTCATTGGAAAAACAAGTGCTGACTTTCACAGGATACAAGGTCCCACCTGGTGGCACCTCTTGGTCTAGCACAACTCACTGGGTAAATCTGACCAAACCTGCTTTTTCTTGTCTGCCGCATTCTGGAATGCCAGCACCCCTACGTGGAAAAGATGCTGTGTCTGAGATAACAGAGAGCATCAGAGACTACCAAAGTATTTGCAGTACGATTAATCTGCAATCCAGATGAACCTCCTATGGGTAACAGAGCTGGCTGTGAGCAGTGAATCACCGGCAAAGTTCTTGTTCATAGAAAAAATTACTACACCTCTAAGAATTTTGGTAGTTTATTCCTTTGCAACATAAACTCAACAAAACAAGCTGTGGCAACACAAGACACTTACTCACTACACCATCAGTTTACCCTGTCCATAGAACACACTAGATTCATTATTTCACTCTTGTTTTTTAGAAACCACCATCTCACAACTGGTGTGAGCAATGTAAGGCTACGGTGATTCCAAAAGGCTCGTCCTGTCCTCCCCCTCACTTCATGCTGACACTGGTGCTCACACAGCGATGTGGCAAATTGGATCAGTTTGCGGATCTGGCTCAAAACTTTTCTCCTCTGCATTAGAAGTTAAGTTCAGGCCAAGTACATGTGGCTGTTTTCAAAGAACTACACAAAAAAAGCATGATTTTTTCCATTTCTTTTGCAGTGAATTTTGCTGCAAAAACTTCCAATGGCAAATATGGGAATCTACCTAACAAAATCCCAAGGCTGCCACCAAACAGCAGCATTCTGTCCTGAAAGAGGAAGTGGTAAAAAATAGGGGAAAAAAATACCCCTGTATTTCTGTAAGAAAGTGAAAACTGTGTATTACAAGAAGGATCATTTAGATTTGATTAGATCATTTAGTTGAGCTCCAAAGGGAGCTTCTAGTCCTGGCAGCTAACGTCTCTTGAGGACACAAGCCTGAGTTCCTTTAACAAACAGAATCTCCATCTCAAATGATCAGTAAAAAAAGGCCCTCTAAATATTAATGAAATGTGAATAAATGAGGTAAATAAAATTAGGAAGCAAGGCCACTTCTCCTTCACTTGTCATCTCAGAATCCTAACCAGCAGGTCAAAGCACATAAGAAAGGCTGAACAGAATTCAGCTGGCTGCAAAGCTGAGTGTGACTAGAGTGTCATTTTGGGGAGAAACTCAAGAGTGTTCTCCAAATGGACTTTCTGAAATAAAACCCTCCAAAATCACGGTACGAAGCCACACTCTAGAAAGGCATTACTTCCAACATCTCCACATCGCTTTGTTACCCAGACTACTGCAGCCTATACTTTTCAGATAAACTTTTGAGCTTCTCTCTAAAAACAATTATCTTAGCACAAGACAAACTAAAAGAAATAACTTTAAAAGAGTACATATGAAACCCAAGACTCTTACATCAGCAACAAAAACAACAAAGGCGCCAGCCAGAAATTGGCTAGCTGAGTCACCCGGATTGACCGGTTCTGGAATAGTGAAATTCCACTGTATTAAACATTTGGAAAGACACGTATTTTCAATGACCTCTGATAAGGATCTGAGCAACAAAACTATTTTTAGCGGTTTCTAAGCGTGTTGGGGTTTATTCTCCCTCTCTGCAATGTTTGAGGTACTAACATGGTTGGATTTAGAGGAGATGGAAAGTGACAGAGGGAGAGGAAAAGGGAAGGGATATAATGCCAGAAGTATTTCTAAAACCCTCTAAAATCCAGGCCAGAAGAGATTCTCTTATTCATATTAAGTAAATACTAACAAAGACAGAAGCGTTTTGGGGGTAGGGAGCATATCTTAGGGTTAGCAAATCAGGATCCAGCCTTAAGCAGTTTTACAGAAAGAAGGTGGCAGCATATATACAATATAAATGGTGAAAAGAGGTGGCAACTGCTTATAACCTATCTGGTGAATGCAGTTCCACTAGTGCTCACTGATCCTGCATCGCGAATGCCATCTCCTGTTCTGTGCTTTGTAACCGTCTCTCTTTTTTTAGTAAAAATGCTTAGGGGAAGAAAGACAAAAAAAGGATCGCCCAGGCTGAATTCAGCTGGAATTTTCCATGGGCCTGTCTGCACTTACTTCAGCGTC